GTATTTGTGAATAAACTTTGCTAAACCACCCTCATGTTTGGTCTGCTTTTGGATCCGCTCCTCTTGCGTGACAAGGATTACAAATAGGTCCTTCTCTATAATTAACATAAATGTTTTAGGCCAAATAAATCATCTTTTTCAGACAGAAAAGTGGAAAAGCTAATCAGCCCAAAGAGTCAAAGAGGGCTCACAAGTATGCGAAAGATAGCATGCTGTGGACTGATATGACATTTTTACTTTTACAAGAAAGTGAGGTACCCCAGCTTTAACATATTTTACCTAAACTTTAAGCAAAATGTTCAAAAGTACCATATCACTCGAAACATACTCCAACGATATTCTTTTCTTTCAACCATTCAACAGACTGAAACTGACTTCTCTGTCTGGTGCTTAACCCTAATCCTCCAGTCCCAGGCCTTTATCCACACTTTACGGCATTCTCTTGTTTTTGAATCCATCAAAAATGTTTCTCCTCTCCACATTTCACTAATTAACTTAACAGACGCAGGTGGAAACTCACTGTAAAAAGGCTTTTCTGCTGTCACGATATGTAGGTCAACTGTGGAGCTAAACAAAAGGAGAAGACGCAGAAATGCTTTGAAGTGTGGCATTTGCATAATATCAAAGGGAATGTCTACCTGCCGTGATAATATATTTAAAGAATTTATAAGAAGCTGTAATTTTTCAATTCAATTAACTGTAGGTTTAGAGAAGCAGTTATCTTGGAGGACTTTACAAAATTCTCAATTCGCCAAAAGGTCAGGGAAAACGGTTTGAAATACAATAATGACAAACACATAGTCCAGAAATGTGAATAAATGTCCCACTGCTAAAGTATAGCAGTGTTTCCCACACATAGACTAATCTGTGGCGCACCGCCACAGATTAGAGACCGCCCGCCACAAATTGCGTTTCGTATTATTATATATATATTTTTTTTGTTACGCTATTTAAAACATGCATCGTCTAGTGCCGCCGCAGCGGTCAATTTGACAGCGGGGAGGGGGGTTTAAAATGTGGCGGCCCTTCGTAACTCTCACTCAAGCTACGCGTCTCTCCCACATACAGAGACCTACACACACACAGCCCCTCCCCTTCGTGCACACCGCGTGTCTCCGTCTCCATCAGCGATCATCGCTGTAAGCAGCTGTGTCTATTAATTTACCGCGGTAAAGTGGCCCGCATCTTTCAGCTCTATGAACATGCGGCCCGCATCGGGGAAAAGACGGTGCGCGTTTTGTTGAGAACTTACGGTAACAGCGGAACGTCCTTTCGGAGTCACCCATTTTTATCGAACAGAAAGCGCGCTGGGGTCAGGGAGACACGTTTTTGTGATTAAAACCTTATAGAGATGCCACCCGGCACACATAGCACCAGCCCCCTACGATTCCTCCGGCAGATTGTGAGTCCTCAGGAGGATAGCCACTCTATTGTTTACATATATAAAGTACACAATTTGGTCCGCTAGTGCAATTGTGGTAAACAGTGACCTATGTACTGCACAGGTGGACAAATGCAAGACAAAATAGTATTAATAACCTGGCCTTGTGGAGGTCTCAAGGACCACAGAGACTTTCGTTGTTTAGGCTATTTGTGCCGAAGGTTTGGCCTTTTCTATGATGACGTAGATTTCCATATATAATGTATCTGTGTCTTTTGTTCTGCCTGAAAATTAACGACCATTTTGTGAATAAACCAGCCAGGAGGCTTTGTCGTACAAAGATCCCAATTTGCATGAGTCTGATTCTTATCAGGTGGTGGAGAATGCGGCGCTGAATGCGACTCTGCCTCGGCTGTTGTGAGAAAGTTTTTTTTTCAGCGTGAGAGAGCTGAGAGCATCTGGATTTGGGTACTATCTACCAAGCTGGAGAGGTGACGATTCCGGGGCTTTTTTGCTCTCTCACTATATTTTTTTGTGTCCTCTTTTTTGGACTGACAAAGCGTTTAAATTTGTTTTTCCATGTCCATATTCCAGGGATTTCTGACGGGTGATTGGTCTCTGCCGATGGAAGCTAGTTCCCGGTACTAGTGAGCGCTGGTTCATGATCTAGAGACCTGGTTGGACGTGGAAAAGGCTGATATTTGGTGGACTTTTGACGGTACCTGGGCCCTGTTCGACAAAAGGTAAGAGCGGACACCTGTTTATTCAAAGTCTGCTAATTGAGTGAACTAAATTATGGTCTGTTTTAAGGTCTGCCAAATGTCATGTATCTATAGATCAGATTAGATTAAAAACAGGTTCGCTACCTGACGGGGTTAAAGTCCCTTTGAGAAAGTCACGGGGTTAAAGTCCCTTTGAGAAGTCTCGGGGTTAAAGTCCCTTTGAGAAAGTCACGGGGTTAAAGTCCCTTTGAGAAGTCTCGGGGTTAAAGTCCCTTTGAGAAAGTCTCGGGGTTAAAGTCCCTTTGAGAAAGCCTCGGGGTTAAAGTCCCTTTGAGAAAGTCTCAGGGTTAAAGTCCCTTTGAGAGAAGTCTCGGGGTTAAAGTCCCTTTGAGAAGAAGCTTCAGGGTTAAAGTCCCTTTGAGAGAATCCATGGTGTAAAAATAAAAAATAAATAAAAAAGGAGGAAAAACGAGTGCAGAGACCTTTGTTGCAAAAGTCCTGAAATTGGCCAATTTCAAGTTTAATGAGTGACAAAAGTTGAAGCAATAACATCTGTTATATATCAGTAATCACAGTTTAAAACTGCATATAGAAAAAGGGAGTTTTGGATTTTGTGCCTGGACAGAGCTCACCAGAAGATGCAGAGTTTTATTTCCAGCTAAACTTTTGTTTATGTATTTTGGTTTCGGTTCAGATAGTATTCAACATTTTTAAGAAAAGCCCTTTGAAGCTAAACAAGTTTTCAAATCTTGCTGTTACGTATTTTTTTTTTTTATTGCCCTCTGGGAGTGTGTGTGACTGCGCGCTCTCACACGGCAACCTGTTTCGGGTCTAAAAATAGACACCGCATGCAGATGAGCAGTTTGTCTTCTCTCTCATCTTCTCCCGTTAAATTTGTGTAAATTAGAGTTTAAATTTTGGGCTTTAGAAAGCTTTAAACGCAAGTACTCAACAGATTTGGCTTGTTCATTTTTATTTTTATCGTATGTTTATTTTTCATAGTTGTAGAACTAAGAACGCTTCACCATATTCTTTGAATTTCTCGCTCTAATCTTGCTTTTACTTTTGCATTGCTGTTATATCGTTTAAATTGGTTGTAAGAGTTTGTATGATTCCTATGTCCTCCCATTACAAAAACACATAGTTGAAATAATTAAGATAGCTTGTTAAAAGTGCATGAATATTGACTTTAGTCTGAAAGAATATTGGTAAATAACAGCAATGCATTAAATCTTTAAATTTTTCCCCTTTTCGCTTGGTTGTGGGAATTCTTGCATGCGTTTTATCAAAGTCCAGCCGTGAGCGTGTGGGAGTGCGGGAACGGCTCCAAAACACCTGCCGCTTCTCAAAATACAGTAATCTGTTTCTATTCGTTTGTGTGCATCTAAAAAAACGTGTTCACTTACATATTCCATTTTATTTTTATTATTAATATTATTTTTCTTGTTTTTAACTCCAATTTTTAGAATTTATTTTTTGTAATCTGGCAATTCTTGAAATATACAGTTTGCATTTGGCTACATTTTTGGCTCACTGTGTCAAAAATATATTTTTGTGAGCGATAATTCGAACTGTTTAAAAAAAAAATAGAATATCAAGTTATTTCTGCTATTATTCTGTGCCCGAACTGTTGGTATTTCTCTGTCGGCTGTTTCTCTTTCTGCACTTCAGCTATTTTTATTATATGTAGATACAAGGCTTTACAAATTATTTTTCTGCATTCATTTATGGTTTTTAGAATTCAAAGCATTGAGTTAGAAAAGTAAACGCTACAGTTTATTTAAAAGTACTCTGGCATCTTCTGGTTAGGTTTGTTTTGAGAAAGTACGGTCCAGGCCAAAATTGCATTGCCGTACGGCATCAGAGTTTTATTTTTATTCTTTCATTTTTGATTTGTTTTCATTTTATGTTTAAACACAGTTGAACAATAATTGCTAATCTAAATGTTGAAGTGGGTAGAATATAGAACCTAAATTGCTTTTTGACTTTAATCCCCAAAACTGTTGAATCTTTAGTCATTTTGTTTTGTTTTGGCTTCCATAATAAAACAGCTCTTTTCCGCGGGTGCATTTTTTACACAAAGCACATTTGTATTTTCCGCATTTTCAAAGATCAGTGTAGAATAAAAAATAATAATTGAATAAAAAGAAGTGTATTTTCTATTTTGACACTTAATAACCTTTATTTTGCATAAATTCCAGTTTCATTATTGTCACATTCAAATAAATAAATGCAAATACAAGGAGCATTTATTAGCATTTGGTTTATCAAATAACGGGAATAATGGTTTTGTTTTGTTTTAAAAGCGAATAATATCAGTGCCAGTCTTGCGCGTCGGGCAGTTTGTTTGCGTTTTGTGTTGACCATACCCATACAAAATCCAGTCTAGCTGGGCTCTATTCTATTTTATTTTATTTTATATAGTTGTTTAAATCACTTTTCATTTTTTGCTTTTTACAAATAATACACATTTTTGGTTTTTGTCTGTTTGATTTTTCAGTCACAATTTGAGTCAACATTTCCCGTTCAATTAAGTTTTGGTCCCCAAAAACAGTGTACTTGGAAACCATATTTTATTTTATTTACATTGTATTTTTATTTTTTTATTTTTGTTCTGGATTTTGGATTTTTAATTTTTTTTTTTTTTTTTTTTTAATTTGTTTTGTTTATTATTATTTATTTTATTTTTCTCCACCTTTTGCCTTGGTGTTGAGTTTATTTTGGCATCCTTTTTTTTTCACTCTTTATTTTATTTTATTTTACGTTATTTTATTTTGATTTTTGCAAAAAAAAAAACAATGTCTTTCATGAAGATGGACACATTTCTGAGGGAGGCGGAGCATTACATACACATCAAGGAAGAGCCATTAAAGGAAGAACAAAGAAAGATTTTACTGATGAAGAAGCTGTTCAAAAAGTATGCAGCGAAGAAACTAATTTCTCGTGGCGAAGATGCCCTGGCTCCGACCAAAAAGCAATGGGAAAACATTTCACAATATCACCAAGGCAAAGTATTGCATCATCGCACCCATCCAGTACTCACCAGAAGAGGCTACGTGACTGATGAAGCAAAGATCAGGAAGCATGAGGAGCTGAAGAACTTTGCATTGGAGCTGTATGACATTGCGAAGAAGATTGCCGAAAAATGTGAAGAACAAAAAATGACACGTATCCTTGTCCTGAAGGAGGGCACTCAAGAGGATCAACCATACAAGCAGAGAAAGAAGTCGGTGACGCTGAAAACTCAGGAGGCACATTCTGCAGACCCAGGACGCCTCAGATCTGGTACCGTGTACAAGGACCTCCATGATGATACGGAGGAGGAGTGTGATGTTGAAGCTACTCAGAGAAGAAGAATTAAAGGAAAAATGCTCAGAGGGAGACCCAGACGCCCCTTCCACGGATAAATGATGAACTTCTGTACCCGGCTTCCGAGCCTGAAGACATGGAAGCATATCACAAGGAGAAGCACAGCTACAAGCAACTGAGCAGGTCACTAAAGGACTTGAGTACCCAGTATTCATCGTCAACTCCATGTTCCCCCCCTCGTTTCAAGAGATCTGCAAGACCAGAATACACACAAGTGGAACTCCCAAAAGCCACAGCCCAAGAAGATTTCCCAGAACCAGTTGAACACACAGTGTTGGGTGGCACCCTCTCTATGGTTCCATCCAGAGGCGATCGTGAAGATGTGCAAGAACTAGCGAAACAAGTCAAGACACTGACAGCACTGGTCAGTCAACAAGCACAAAGTGTTCACAACCAAACCTCTGAAGAAGATGAACATGAAGAAGTGGGGATTCCTCAACTGCGGAAAAAAGAAGAAGAAATATGGAGGAAGTCAAAGACCAAGACAATGCAAAACATGAACAAAAAAAAAAGAAGAACTCATTTGTTTAATGGACAAAGAACCAAAGCACACCCAAACCAGTCGTGAAATGCATATAAGAAGAGGCATAGAGAACCGACTGAGGACAGGCCACAACCCCTTCCGTCCAGAGACAAGAGACCACTATGTCGCAGGGGAGTTTACCGGCCTGGTCGAAGACCAACAGCATGAGGGAGCCTTCGTGAGTGGGCATGTCAACCCATTTTTTGACCCAAATCACTCACTGCTAGAAGAAGATGAAGCGGGAAGAGCAACAACCTCTCTCTTTCCACTAAGAGAGGCTGCGGGTCGCCAGCAAGTGTATCAGCCATTTGCATTGAAAGACATTGAAGGACTAATGCTGAAATTGCCAAAGCTGACAAAAGGAGCACCTGCATTTATGAGGGCACTGACGACGCACACAGCTGGTGAAATATTGTGCTGGGGAGACGTCTCTTCTATAATCACCAGAAATACTGATGAAGCCACTACCAAGAAAGTACGGGCGGAGCTAATAAAACGCATTGGACCATTCAACCATACCCTGTCCTTTACCACCATGAAAGGACCACTGCTGTCAATTCTGAGAGAAATGTTTCAAACATGCGTTCCAGAAGAATTACTTTCGCTGAAGATGAAAGAAGATGAAGAGTACTTTGAGTACAAGCGCAGAGCCAAGGCCTTATTCTATGATGCAACTGGGGAAGCAGTGCAACCAGGAACAACAAGTACATTCATCCTGTTCAACACAATGGTCAAAGGAATGCCAAAACCAGTACAACAAAGTCTTTCTCATGTTGTTGGACTGTACACACTGACCGAAGAAGACTTTGATAAAAACTGCAACCACTATGTGACCTTCTATCGAAATGAAAGAGAGAATAATAAAGAAGAAACACAAAAAGTGGAGGTGTCTAACATCAAGCTACAAAACAAGAAACTTAAAGAAGAGGCGGAAGCACAAAAGAGTAAAAACAAGGCCGCAAATGTGATGAAAGTTGGAGTGGACGGATCACAGGTCAATGTTGAGGACAATGACCAGAATCAAAAAGGAAAAGAGCAAGCTGAACAGATGGTGGACGTTGTAAAGCTCCTTTTGACACAGAGACCGGCTCAGAGAGGATACAGGGGGAACTCCAGAGGAAGGAGTAGAGGGAGAGGATTTCAAGGACAAAGAGGCAATCGTCAAATATCTGGAGATCAATGCTGGATATGCCACCAATATGGACACTGGTCAAGGGATTGTGCCAACATAGGGCGATATGGCCCACCACGGAACCAATTTTTTGGGCAGCGACAAAACCAATCGCGATTTCCCGGATCCTACAACGGACAGCAGCAGATGTGGACGCCCAATGACATGCCACAGCCCCCACCCCCGCCTGAACAAAACATGAGTATGCGTGGAAACTCGTACACACAGTACCAGGATGGGCCTGGAGGCTCTTATTGACGGGGCCAACAGCAAGAGAGCCACTCACTCCACAACTGGCGGAGTGAGCCAATGGTGGTCCTCGAGGTGAATGGACGAGAGATCAAGTTCATGGTCGACTCTGGTGCAACTGTGTCATGCATCACACACAAGTTTCCACTGTCCTCTGAATCAATGTCCATCTCTGGCTGTGTGGGGAAACCTGAAAGCAAACCATTTACTGTTCCATTGGAAGTAAAATCACACCATGAAACTGTTCATCACTCTTTTTTGTATCTACCAAACTGTGGCATCTCTCTGTGTGGCCGTGAACTGATGTGCAAGTTGTCCTTCTCCCTATTCTTCTGCCCTGAAGGATACAAACTCATGAACAAGCCTGAAACATTGCAACTAATACGGTCTTGGGAGAAAAACAAGCATGCACAGATATTGTATCTCTCACCAGATGTCGCAGAAGATCTGAAGACACCTATCGATATCTACTGGCTTCAAGTACTGACGGATCCAGAGCATGGTAATACAGCCTCAACACTCTGGCAACGATACAAGCTATGGGCAAAATCCAATTTCCCCTTGAGAGAACCGTTTGACCCACTGCATGCCACGCTGTACTGTACCACTCAAGAAGATGAGAGTTATGAAGAATTGTGGGACAATGTGCAAGGGCAAACATTCCATGTAACATACCCATACATCTACTGTGGTCCCAAAGGCATGGCCCTGTCTGTGACTCTTCCAGATGAAGTGAAGCCCTATTATGTCGAAACAACCGACATGGACCCACATGTGACGTTGGCCGTTTCCAAGTACCATACTGCAAAGTCCCTTGGATCAATGGTGAAGTTGGCAAACACTTTGATATATGCACCAACCGACAACCCTGGAGTGTCCTAAATGGACAACATGGCATTTTCAGGATCACACTGCCAGACGGGTCAACGGACATAACCAGAGCTTTGAAGGAATCGCGTCACAGAACTTTTGAAAATCACCCAGACGCTCAACGATACTTGGATGCAGTCCCAGCTAACATATGGATGACACATGCCAATGATGTGGGATGCACATCGCATGTTGTGAAAGTCAAACTGACAACTGACACTCCAGTATACAGAGCACAATACCCCTTGAAACAAGAACAAGTGCAAGGGATCGCACAAACCATTGAAGGACTGCTGAAAGCAGGTGTTATAAGAGGAACTACATCAGAGTATAACACCCCACTATTTCCAGTGAAGAAGTCAGATTTGAAGAACTGGCGCATGGTCCAAGACTTCAGACCCCTAAATGAAGTAACAGCTGATGAATCGTACCCTGTTCCAGACCCATACATCGCACTGAACAACCTTTCTCCGAACGACAAGTACTTCACAGTAATTGATCTGGCCAACGCCTTCTTCACAATCAAACTGCATCCAAAATCTCAGAAGTACTTTGCCTTCACCGTGAAGGGGAGACAATACACTTACTGTCGGATGCCCCAAGGATGGAAACTGTCCCCCGGGTACTTCAACCATTTCCTACGTCTGGATCTGGCTGAGTTTAACCTTCCTGAGAAGTGCACTCTCATACAATATGTGGATGATCTGGCTATTTCAGGACCAGATGCAAGGTCCGTTTTACAAGCATCCACTGATCTGCTCACACACCTGGCAAGAAAAGGCTATAAAGTGAAGCGGGAGAAAATCCAAATGTGCCGAAGATCTGTGTACTTCTTGGGAAGAGAGGTTTCTGCAGTTGGACAGGGAGTCTCAGACTCCAACAAAGATGCAATTCTGAAGACACCAAAACCAAAAACGGTGCGACAAATGTGAGTTTTCTCGGACTTTGCAACTACAGTCGAGAATATGTACCCAACTATACCGCAATGACTGCACCTCTAAGAGAACTGATCAAACCCCATGGCATGAACCAACCAACTGCAAGTTTAACTTGGACCACGGAAGCAGAAAACTCCTTTACAAGAACAAAGCAAGCCGTCTGTAACGCCTGTGCACTGTATGTGCCAGACTACACACTGCCGTTTCATCTTGATGTGGCTGAATCACAATTCTATGTCTATGGAATATTGTATCAGAAGAAAAAAGGAGAAAGAAGAGTTCTGAAACACTACTCTTGCAAACTTGATCCACACGACCAAGCCCAACCTGGATGTGCAAGATATCTGGCAGCATTGACCAAAACAATCATGAAGACAGCACATCTGGTCCAAAACCACCCTCTTGTGGTACCACAAACCATGGGATCCAAGCATACTTGAACTCAAAACTGTTCATCACCACAGCCCAAAGAACTGCCAACATCACTCAGACGCTTCGTCAACCTCACATCACCTATGCCAGTGGAAACATCAACATGGCCATGCATATGATCAATGACTCTGAAAGCAACAGCACGGACCATATCTGTGAAGAACTGGCGAAGACTGAACTATATGTAAGAGCTGATCTTCAATTTGAGCCAATTCCAAATGCTGAAATGACACTCTTCTGCGATGGCTGCTCATACAGAGCGCAAACTGGAGAAACCATCTCATCATACGCTGTCGTCTCACAAAAGGAAAATGGAGAGCACAGAGTATTGGAAGCAAGACAAGTGGAGCAAGGATCTGCTCAAGTGGCTGAACTTACAGGTCTGCTGCGAGCACTGCAACTCGCCAGTGGACGGACTGCGAACATCTATACCGACTCGGCATATGCTTACAGGACATTGACAATCTCAATTCCTGGATGGATAAGAAATGGCTTCAAACTGATAAATGGACTGCCGGTAAAACATGAAGTTCTTGTGAGACATCTGATTGATGCAGTGAACCTACCAAGCAAACTGGCCATCATGAAATGCAGAGCACATACACAAGGAGAAGACATGATCTCCAAAGGAAACCAAGCTGCAGACCAAGCTGCAAAAAAGGCTGCCAACTACATGAAAAGAACAATGATCGTACAACAGAAACCAGAAAAACCCAAAGAAGTTCAAGAAGAAGAGGAAACTCAAAAAGCTCAAGACAAAGAAAAACCCAAAAAAGTTCAAGAAGAAGAGGAAACGCAAAACGCTCAAGAAGACAAAGAACAGACCAAAGGATCAAAGAAGAAGAAGAAGACAAA